GTCCGAAGAATAATTTTGAAAGAGAATCCATGAAGAATATTTCTTATGCTTCAGTTGTCGGGTGCCTCGGGTATGTCCAAGTCTGTACTAGGCCGGACATCGCCTTTGTTGTTGAAATGCTGGGACGATATCAAAGTGATCCGAGTTTAAACCGCTGGAGAGCTGCAAAAAGGGTTTTAAGGTATCTCAAGGGTACCAAGGATTATAAGCTTGTGTTCAAGCAGATGGACATTTTGGACATTGTTGGATATTCTGATTCGGACTTTGCCAGTTGTGTAGATTCTCGGAATTCAACTTCGGGGAACATTTTTATCATGGCCGGTGGAGCTGTTTCATGGGGAAGTGTTAAACAAACTCTTGTCACCACTTAAACCATGGAAGCGGAGTTCGTTTCATGTTTTGAGGCTACATCTCAAGGTGTATAACTTAAGAATTTCATTTTGAGGCTTAGAGTTATGGACTCTATTTCTAAGCTATTAAAGGTTTATTGTGACAACTTAGCTGCAGTCTTCCTGGCTAAGAACAATAAGAGTGGGAGTCGAAGTAAGCATATCGACACCAAGTACTTAGCCATCAGGGAGCATGTTAAAGATAAGAAAGTGGTCATTGAGCATATAAACACTGAGTTGATGATTGCTGATCCCTTAACTAAAGGCATGCCACCATTCAAGTTTAGGGATTTTGTTGAGAAAATGAGACTTGCGCCCACTTTGTAAAACTTGTATACATTTAGTTATTTGTATGAAATTCTTAAAGCATTTAGATATTTTCTCGTTATTGTATTGTGCACATATTGTTGAGAAAATATATATCTTTTGGACCTGGAATAAACATAAGGTTTATCCATTAAGTTTTTGGTTAATCACATGAAGTACTTAGAGAACAAGTTTCATTGTGATTATAGTAGATACTACTCGTATTAAGAGGACATATCTCTATAGTTCATGTATTTTGTTTCTTTAAGTTTGTTCTTGCACCAAGTGGGAGAATGTAACATTTTCCATTTATGGTGCAAGATTATTATGGCTTTAATGGCCATTAAGGGGTGCTAATTGTAACAGTTGTAATGGTTACCGTTACAAACGTTACAAAGCTTGTATTGATGGTTAATAGGATATATAAGACTAGGTCCCTCCACTGCTTAGAACACTGTCATTTCGACACAACTATACACCATCTCTTTGAACCTGAGAACAAGTGGGAGACACTCTTCCCAAATTACTACAACAAATAACTAAGGCATTCAACTACAAGGCAATTGAAAAGAATAACTATTGCCGGAGGTTAGTTTGTGTTTACATTTACTGTTTGCTTACACCATAATCATCAATGATTTTCTGGGCTTATGATATTTTCTTTCATTAACGTTCACCTCCTCCGTTGGTCCAGTCATCGGGGTTTCCTCCACCATTCTTTTTGGACATGCATCTTGCCGGTGACCGTAAACACCACAACTATAGCGAACAAATGAATTCTCTCATATCCAATTCTGCAAATCCTTCGTCGGAATTTAATTCCTTGTAGAGTGTTTCCTTAAAAGAGAGCATTTTTTTTATTTGTTTATAATGTTTACATTAAATATGCTAAAAAAATTGGAAGGTTGTGTGTTCGAGCCTCAGTGGAGGTGTTATTGGCTCTTTGTGTTTCAGTAGGTTGAGAAAGTATATGAACAGATACTACATTGTAATAGAGCTAATAGCATTCAAAAAATATGCTAAAAAAATTGTAATGTGCAAGTATTTAGATTTTTATTAACTAACCTTTAATTTTTTGTCAACTAATTTTAATGAGAATAGACAATAAAAGCAATTAAAATTACACAAATCTTTTAAAATTTTTAGTAAATTATCAAAAAAATTTAAAAATAAAAAATTAAAAAAAAAATTGGTCTGAAATGTTTGAACCCCTTTACTAATACAGAAAATTTTACCAATTTTCTAGAAAACTAAAAACAATAGAATAAAAGATATGTTCATTTGTATAGTTTTCGAATTTGAAAACTAGAAATAGTTTTCTAGAGATTTTTTTTCTACTTTTCATTTTGGAAAACGAAATCTCTTTATCACCTATTTGACTATATATCTACCACTAAAACCACATCTTCATCGACTTTATCTACTTATTACATATTTATCCATTATTATTATTATTATTATTATTATTATTATTATTATTATTATACTATTAGAGTTTATTAAACTCGAGAACCAGAACTATCGGAATTAATGCATTTTATTTTTTTCAGTTCAGAACATGAATCGACAGTTCCAGTTCGCGATTTTACTAAACTTTAAATATCGGGTTTCGATTCTAAATTGTAATCGGAACCTTTCAGTTTGGTTGCTATAGTGACTATTCGGTTTGAACCAAATCGCGGTCATAATTTGTTAGATAAGAAAAATAAATGAAATATTTATTTTAAGGATAATATGTCCATTTAACATATCAAAGGGAAAAAATTGTCACTTGAATAATTCAAATGGACAAAATGCTATAAGTATATAATTTAACGGGAAAAAAATGTTATTTTTTCCCATGAAAAATTGGAAATAAAGAAAAAAGAAGCAACTGGCAAGTTTTTATTTTTATTTTTTTTGGAAAAATTGCACTATTGTAGAATTCCTCCCTAAGTGTTGGTCATGGTTACTTTTCGTCCCTAAGTTATCATTGGTGTTGCACTTTTCGTCCCTGAGTTATAAGGTAATTGTAGGATTCGTCCCTAAGTATTGGTCGTGTTCACTTTTCGTCCCTAAGTTATCATTAACGTTGCACTTTTTGTCCCTGAGTTATACTAAAATTGCAAATTTCGTCCCTAATCACTACTACATAAATGGTATACTATGTCACTTAATAGACGGCGATTTTTTAAATAACTGACGTATAATATATTGTGTTATACTACGTCATTTAATAGACGGTGGTTGTTTAAGTAACTGCCGTATATAGTTGACATACATGGCGGTTGTTTAACCGCCGTATATAGTTAACATACACGGTGGTTTCTAAAACCGCCGTAGGAAGTGTATATTTGCAAGGACAGTCACTTACACGCGCGACACTTCGAAAACCGCCGTGTATGTGTAAAAAACCGCCGGTGGTTATTTAAAGTGTATGGCGTAAAAAAATTAATTAAGGTATATACGACGGTTATTTAAAAAACCGTCATCTATTAAGTGACGTATTATAACAAAATATATTAGACGATGGTTATTTAAAAAACCTCCGTCTATTAAGTGACGTAGTGTACCATTTATATAGTAGTGATTAGGGACCAAATTTGCAATTTTAGTATAACTCTGGGACGAAAAGTGCAACGCCAATAATAATTTAGGGACGAAAAGTAAGCATGACCAACACTCTGTGACGAATTCTACAATTACTCTATAACTTAGAGACGAAAAGTGCAACGCTAATAATAATTTAGCGACGAAAAGTGAGCATGACCAACACTCAGGGACGAATTATATAATTACTCTATAACTTAGGGACGAAAAGTACAATTTTCCCTTTTTTTTTTATAACTTAATCCTAATCATACTTTGTATAATTCTTGAGTTTTTTTGTTTCACGTGCCATTCGAACCACACACTACAACCTCCACTTATAATCTTTAAGTCAGACAACAAACCAATTACGTTAATTCGGAGGCGAGTTTTTAAACTTTTAACAAGACACTTCTCCACCCTTTCTGTTATGAACTGGACCCTTATATCCTTCAAATTGCAGACATCATCGCCATCCAGGATAGGGATGGCAATGGGGCGGGGTGGGTGCGGGGGATATATCCCCTGCCCCAGCACTCGCATTTCCAACCCACTCCCCGTACCCGCACCCGCACCCGCGCGGGTAATGAAATTCTTACCTCATACCCGTCCCCGCAGAGATTTTACGGGTGTTGGTTTTCGGGTTTTCGAGTCCAAGGAGGTCCAACACAACCTTTGGTTGGTGGATTCACCTTTCACAAAGTGACAGCAAAAGAAGAGTAATTGAATAGTAGCTAGAAAGTGTGTGTCTCTTATTCCCTGGGCATGGATTCGCCACTATTACAAGGGTGGAGATGCCCTTATATAGTAGGCTCCTCTCCGTCCGACTTGAAGGACATCAATCATTGGTGTTAAGGCTAATTACCATTACTAAGCCGTTGGGCGCCGTTACCGGACCGGCCAACGGCTCTCTGGACTCATAACCGCCTGCCTGACCGAGTCCCGCTTTAAATGCCTCCAACGGCTCCTGGACCGACTTAAAAGCTACGCTTGAACGCTTTTCAACGGTTCTCGGGGCCGAGTCTTCTTAAATGAGGCTCTTCAATGTTCCCTAACGGCTCAGGGTCGAGTCTCTATCCGTGCTCGGGCCTGGGCCGACTCCTGGACTCGGCCCAAGCTTTCCACTAGGCTTCTTTCGCTACCGGCCCATATCTTCTTTCCTGGACTCCTCTCTTGGGCCCCTCTTCTTGGGCCGGGGTTCTCACCCCATCAACGGGTGCGGGTAATACCCAACCCGCAACTCTAATTCTTCATATTACACTTAAATCTAATAAAAATTTTATACTACAACTCTAATTATTACATGGATTTTTTATAAGTTTGAACATAACTCTAAAATTTAATAAGAGCCAATGAAGTTAATCATTGGACCTAAAATTGTATTGGTAGTATAAATTGTATTAAGTGTTTACTCATTATATTATTTGTGTTGTTCTTATTCAATTTTAATTAACAAAAAATTAAGAAGTTTAATTTATTATGCATTTTTAATTATAAAATATGCATAAACTTATATAATAAATGAATACTAATAACAAAATATATAAGTGCGGGTGCGGGGCGGGGATACCTTCCCCGCCCCCGCCCCCATACCCACTCGGGTATACAAAATTCTCCTCATACCCGCACCCATTACCTAAATTGTGAGGGTATTTTAAAATCCATAGGGACAGGAATGCGGGAAATCATTAGGTGCGGGTAAAATTGTCATCCCTAATCCAGGATAGGGATGGCGGTTCAATTCGGATTTTCCGAATCCAACCGAACCAAACCGCTTCACAATTCGGTAAGCCTTTTTGAATTTTAATTTACCGAACGGTTCAGTGCTGAGCCTTCCGCCGTCCGCCACTCCACCATCTGAAAATCTAAGAATCGAAAACTTCAAGGAGACAAAGACGAAGCCTCCGCCATCCGCCTGCTTCTCTGCTCCACCGTCCGCCATTGCCTGCTTCCCTGCTCCGCCTTTGCCTGATTTTGAGTTGAATTCGCAATAAGTTCCAAGTGTGTTGTGTGTGTGAATATAGGAGTAATTGTGACTGTAATTCTGATCTTGCAGGGAAGAGACTATGGAAGTCAAGATTATACGTATCCTTTTTTGTCATTTTGTGTTTTGAATAATTTGGATTTTATTTATGATCTACTGGAGTTATATTGATGCAAAATGTAATATTAAAAAATTAAAATAATTCCTAAATTCTTGAAACTCAAATCAATTTGGCATTTTATAATTTGTTTAAGGTAAGGCTTTGGGAGCCATTTGATATGCATCGTTGTTCTGTGTGAATTTCTTGAACTCATGAAGTATTAACCTTTTTATTTTTAGTTTCTCACTTCACCACTAGTGAAGTTTGATTTGGACATGCATATAAACTTTGTTTCATTTTAATTCTTCTTATTGTTTTCTGTTTGTTTGGTGTTTGGTTGGACTAATTTTCAGTATGCCAGAAATTCTTGAGATTGCCTGTCTTTTGCTATCCAGCTTAAATTTCTGTGTAATCAGTTTTCACTTGACCAATTCCTTTGCTTTGTGCTGTGGGTGGCTATGAACAGAGTACTTCCTTTGTCTCAACTTGATACCACTCAAATTTCTAATAAGTAGATTGTGGGGGATCTTAATACTCTCTTCTTTTTTGTTAATTGTCAATAAAAACTACAGGTGGCATGCTGTTGCTTCATGGACATGGGATGCACAGGATGAGACTTGTGGAATTTGTAGGATGGCCTTTGATGGTTGTTGTTAGGATGTCAAGTTGTTACTCTTTACACCTGCCAATCTGCCATTGTATTACCATTAAGTTTCGACTTCTATTTGAATTCCAAACTGTTACTCTTTATACCTGCCATTATTTTGCCCTTAATTCTATCTTTTCTATGTGACTCTGATTGCTATTATTGCCTTGTACTTGCACACATTTGGATTATATGGTCATGTGGCAGTGTGGCACTGTAATACTTATTTTTATGCCTTTAGTAAATCCACTATTATCGTTAAGCTTTGTTTCTACTTCTGGTAGGATGTCAAGTAGTTACTATTTGCACCTGTCATTGTATCACCATTAAGTTTCTACTTCTATTAGGATTCCAAACTGTTACTCTTTATACCTGCCATTATATTGCCTTTAATTCTAACTTTTCTATCAGTTTATCAAAATACTGTCTAGTTCAGACTTCTACTTCTTGTGGGATTGATAATGATATCCTTTTCTCCTGCATCTTATAAATTTGAAATTTCCCCTGGATCTACAAACTTGTTCGATAAAAATATGTTTGTGAAATTAGCAAGGATTTGCTTAATCCTTTCGGTGTATAAAATTTCCAAGACAGTTGCTGTAGATGAGTGCTCCAGCTTTTCTGTGCAATTTGAAGCTCATAATCATTTTTGACAATTGACAATCATTATATTTTGGGGTTTTTACCAACACTCTCTTGGTTTAAACTTCCAATTCATATCCCTCCTGCCACCTGTATGGCACTTGGTCCGCTAAATGATTAATAATAAAGATCTACGGTGGTGTCTCAATTATTGTCTTTTATGAAAGATCATCTTCAATGCTTATGTTACAAGGATGTAAAGAGAATGTTCATCGTATAGTTTGTATGTTCAGGTGGTTTAAATGTTTTCTTGCAGTTTGGGGTGCTTGCAATCATGCATTTCATCTCCATTGTATCTTGAAGTGGGTGAATTCACAGACTTCTCAGGCACACTGTCCCATGTGCCGCAGGGAATGGCAATTCAAAGGATGAAAAACTGCATGTGTTCTTAATTTCTGGCAAGTTTCTCATCCTCCTTACTTCCCCCCTATTAAATAAAATAAATAAATATAAGAACTTTACCAGCAAAGGAAATTTGTTCTTGAGTCTTGATTTCTGCACATAACTTTTTAACTTCTGCACTTTGCAGTTTTCTTGTTGCTTAAGTGACAGCATTACCTAAACTAATAGTTTAAGAACTCAAATAAGTGGGAAGAGATTATTTAGTCTGATTATTGGGAATTTGGGATTACTAACCAATTAATCAAACTTTTACCCGTTTGGCAAATATATAGTTTATTAATATTACTACACTTTAGCTTATTTAAGCAAATAATTCACAACCAGAATTGATTATGGAATAAGTCACAGTGGGCACTCTGTATTTTATAATCTTTAGTGCTTTACCACACTGGACCTTAAATATTTTGATATTCTTTGCAACCTACATGGCAATCATAAAATCCATACTAGCTCTTGCTTTTGTATTATCATGTTATTCTATCTTCTGTTATTGGAGAACTTGAATATAGGAATGACAGGGCTTTGCCTTTTTTTTTTTTTTTTTTTTTTTTTTTTTTTTGGATTTAACAATCATTACTTCATGAGTTAAGGTCCTTTAATCATTGTGTGTTGAAATGAAATGCACGTTTGAGAGCGAATCAAGTGCAAGTGTTTCCCTTCTTATTTTATCCTCTTTTGTATGTGCTTTATGAAAGTTAATTCTATACACTTAATGGTCTAATTACATTTACAGGTTTGGAAGCATTGCCCGTCCATTCAACTAAAAGCACCTCGGAATTAAACACTGCATCAAGATATTACCATCTTTGCCACACCTTTTAGTCATTCTCTAGTTTGGTCCTCAGTTGTTTGTGCTGTACCTGATGCATCAAACATTGTCTGGCTTGCAGTAGTTAGGAAGCCCTTATGTTTTTTGCTTTGAGCTATGTTATAAACTTTGACAAATTTATGTGCTTTATGACTTAAAATATTGATGATGGTTAATGATACTGCAAATTGAAACTTGTTTTACATGGATGCTGAGATTGGGCATCCTTTAGTTTGTACTTGCAGGCATTTTTGTAATGTTATAAAACTGATGCTAAGTGTAACAGACCTGAGAATGGGTTCAAATGCAAGGACTGATGAGCAACAAGATTAGTTGGAGTTGGCAGATTGGAGGTTGAAGTTGTCAAGTGTGTTTTACTTTCTTACCCTTGGTTGTTATAACAACTGTTGAGCTGTTTTATTCCTTGGGATTGCTAATTTTTGTTGGATTTTTGGTTATTTAGGAGAGGATTGCATTTATATTGTTTTATTCATTTTCTGAATGAAAACTTTGAATTTTCCCTTCACTCTCTCAATTTCAAATTTCTTTTTCTGGTTCTTCCTTCTTCCCTCAATTCTGTTTTATTTTCTGTCGAAGACCCAGAACACTGTGTTTTATTTTCTGTCAAAGATCCAGAACACTGCATTTGGTATTAGAGCTCTTTTTGCTGGGCAGCTAACTTTGAAACAGAGATATTTTTAATTAATGTAGATCTCACACAATTGGAGCGGAATGCAACCATAAGATAGGATAGATGACATCAATTCTCTGCATTCGAGTCAAATTGTAATAGTATAACTTAAAAGAATTCTAATTAATCTAAATTAGGAGGTATTGTAGTCATAGGCATAAACAATTGTTATTGACATGTATATTTATTTTATAGTCAATAATCCCAGGAATTCATAAATCCAAGTATCCTTTCTCTCATTTATCCCTACTTTTTATTGCCTTCATTTATTTATTTTCTCTTTTTTCTCAAACTCTATTACACAATTTACTAAAGACTACATAATAGAACATGTAGTATTAAAATACTTGTAGTCACTAGAGATACAACACTCGTTACTCTCACCTCTATACTCAGACTCATAGTATAGTTGCATAACAGAAATTTATATAGTGCAAATCCGAGTATCAATGATGCTATTGTGTTAGAGATAAGAGCTGAAAGGAAGAAATAAAAAGAGAATTGAATTAAAAGAAACCAAGAAACAAGGATAATATATCCTCCAGCAAGAAATAGTTCTTGCCCATCTGTAAGTAGCTCTTATTTTTTGATTGCTATTGCCTGCCTATTACTAAGGGGAACTCCTTTATTTATAATCTCATATATATGTTATAAAAGTAAACATCATAAAATTCTCTTATGATAATCTGCTGCAATCCCTTTACTTATGCCTTGTTTGTATTCTGGAAATCTGCTACTTGAATGGATGACTGATTCCCCTTTCCTTTTATTTATTGATTTCTTTCTTTTCTTCTTGAGTAAACAATCCACTTGTTTGATGCGTTATCATTGCCACCCGCTCCTGAAGTAGCCTTGTCCCCAAGGCTAGAGTTAGGAAATTGACCGTGAAAATCTAAATTATTCATCCAAGTCGCGTCATCTTGGGGCAGATTTTCCCATTGCACCAAAACTTTTGGTACCCCATTTTGGAGTCGAGTACCTAGAATATCCTTAGGAATATACCCTTGGTCTTCTACTGCCATGTCTGCTGGAAGTTCAGTGATTGCAGGGTGGTGGCCCGTGACACGCCTAAGTTGTGACACATGAAACACTAGATGTATTCTGGCTGAAATTGGTAGTGCTAGCTTGTAAGCCACTGCACTTAGTTTCTTCTCAATAGTGTATGGCCTATAGTACCTTGGAGCGAGTTTCTGGTATATGCGACGTTGTACTGATGATTGGCGATGCGGCCGAAGTTTTAGTAGGACATTGTCACCTTCTTCGAACTGCATATCGCGTCGTTTAGTATTTGCCGCCTTTGTCATACGGCTTTGTGCTTGCTCCAAATTGTGATGAAGTTGTCTTAGAAGCTCATTTCTATCAATGTTTTCCTCGCCACTGCTGCTACCTTGAATTCTCCTGGTAAATACTGATGCAAAGTCGGAGGGGGGTCGCCCATATACGGAAAGAAAATGTGACATCCCGACAGCCCCTTAAAACGAAGTATTGTACTAATACTCGGCCCAATGAAGATATCGTCCCCATTGTTTGGGTTGTTCAGAAGCAAAGCATCGCAAATATTGTTCTAGACAGCGATTAAGGACCTTGGTCTGGCCATCTGTCTGCGGATGGTAAGCACTGCTCATTCGCAGCTTAGTTCCGAGCTTGGCAAAGAATTCCTTCCAGGAATTGCTTAAGAATACCGAGTCTCGATCACTTACTATGGATCGTGGTACTCCGTGTAGGCGAACAATCTCCTTCATAAAGATGTCAGCAAGTGATTTGGTGGTGAGCGGGTGTCGTAGCCCCACAAAATGGGCATATTTAGTGAAGCGATCTATTATCACCCATATGCAATCCAGCCCATTTGATCGAGGTAGTCCGGTGATGAAATCCATAGCGATATCTTCCCAAGTTGCTGATGGTATAAGTAACGGATGGAGTAAGCCAGCAGGGCCCAAGGTGTCATACTTATTTTTCTGGCAACTAAGGCATTCTGCTACAAACTGCTGGACACGTCTCATCATTCCTTACCTGTATACACTCACATCCAGTCTACGGTAAGTATGATAAGCCCCCGAGTGACCTCCTGTAGGTGTAGAATGGAATTCCTCCAATAGTTTTGGTATCCACAGCGATGTAGCTGGTATGACAATGCGCCCTTTGTAAAACAACCACCCATTAACAAGCTGAAATGGTGGCTGGCTAGCGGGGTCCTGCTCCAGTCGATCCCTAATGAGTTTTAAATTGGTATCCCATGAAATTTCAGCATCAAGAACATCCCAATCTAACCAAAAAGGTAAGGATATTGCAGATAACTCTAACTCTTCATGTTGTCTGGATAAAGCGTCAGCCGCCTTGTTTGTTTTGCCTGGCTTGTAAGCGATCTCAAACTCATAACCATTAGCTTAGCTACCCAATTTTGTTGTTATGGGGTGGTAACTCTTTGTTGCAAGAGGTGGCGTAAACTACTATGATCAGTGTGAACCACAAACTTTCTTCCGCTAAGATATGGTCTCCAATGTTGAATGGCTAAGACTAGTGCCATCAGTTCCTTCTCATAAGCTGATTTTGCCAGGGTTCGATCCGAGAGGGCCTTGCTAAAGTATGCGATCGGACGTGCTTCTTGCATAAGAACAACACCCACACCAGTCCCCGAAGCATCGCACTCAATAATGAAGGTTTGTGAAAAATCTGGTGTTGCTAGGACTGATGCAGAAGTCATAACAGCCTTCAACGCATTAAAGGCAATTTGCGCCTTATTGGGCCAATGAAATTTGTCTACCATATTCTTCTTGAGAAGTGCAGTCAACGGCTGAGCTATATTCCCATAGTTTTGTATGAAGCGACGGTAGTAGCTTGTGAGACCCAAGAATCCCCGAACAACCTTTGTGGACTTAGGTTGAGGCCAATGCAGCACGCACGATATTTTTGCTGGATCCATAGCCACCCCATATTGTGAAACAATGTGTCCCAAGTATTCCACTATTGTCCGGCCAAATTGACATTTCTTTTCATTTGCTTTAAACAGGTGGGCAGATAGTATTCCTAGCACCCTTGACAGATGATTCAAGTGATCCTTCCAAGTAGTGCTATATATTAGTATATCATCGAAAAATACCAACACAAGTTGTCAAAGGATGAGACGGAAGATGACATTCATAATTTCTTGAAAGGTGGCTGGTGCGTTTGTCAATCCAAATGGCATTATCAAAAATTCGTAGTGCTCGGAGTGCGTTCAAAAAGCAGTTTTAGCCACATCTTGTGTAGCAACCTTAATCTGATGGTACCCGGAACGGAGATCAATTTTGAAGAAGTATCGAGCACCATGAAGTTCATCTAGCATTTCCTGTATGACTGGAATTGGGTATTTGTTTGCTACCGTTACCTTAACACTTACTGGAGTTGTTCCTGTCTTTAAAACAATCTGATGATCATTAGCCCGAGAATGAGGTAAACCCTGCAGATCACCAAAAACTTAGCAGTGCT